GGTATGTCTCACTCTCTGTATGCTTGGAGCAGCTCAATGGAGAAAGGGCGTTGGTACTTACCTGATATGCCCGTTCTCTGTGAGCTGCAACGAGCATCCAGCCCCACCCAGAATCCATCTGGTGGGATCCTGTTCTGGCCAACAACTAATCTGACAGAATACAGAAACCAATGAATGACTAAATCACAGAAGAGGGTGGGGATCGCATCACCTTGTTTTCGCCAAAACTGGGGGATGCTAGGGAGGAGCAACAGCGTCCTAACAGTTAAGCCCAGCCTATTCGAGCAGAGACTAAGCACCTCCCACTCTCTGGATGCTCGTTGCAGCTCACAGAGAATGGGCGTATCAGGTAAGTACCAACACCCCTTTTCAATGATGCTGTTACACTGTATCCTCTTGGTGAAATAAATAAATCTTGTATTACCTCATACCAAAACAAAATGGACTGATCTTTCGTTTCTCCTCCCCCTCTTTTAAACATTTAAAATGTTGTCAGTAAAAGAATAATGTAATGTTAAAATTGGGATACAAGTGGTCTAAATTATTGAAAAAAGCAAAGAACTGTTTAGAATTCTCATGTTGTGAATTTTCTTGTATATTTTGAGGATTCCCCTTCTCCCAATGAAAAGGATTCTTGAATATCTTCTTTTCTGAGCATATTCATCTATACTTGTCTCTGAAACATTAGCTAAATCTTTTGGTTGCCAACTTGAAAAAAAGTTACGAATCTCTGAGTTATCAACTGAAGTCCTAAATACTAATTATGCTTCCTGGCGAAAATGGCTGACTGAAGATAGTTCTAAAGACAAGTGGAGCTGACAATTTGCAGCCTTGTACAAGGGAGCTAAAGCAGATTGCCTCTGTTTTCACTGAATTAAAGAGAATTACTGGAGATTGTTCAAGTTTTTTCTTTACCTGACAAAGAGATTGCAAGACAGCAATTTTGGACTACGGGAAGAAACCAGGAAGACTTCACCATTTTGCTCTAACTGCATATTGTAGTCCTTTGTGGCCTGTAAATTGTGCATTTTTCTTACTAACTATTTTTGGAAATTGCATATTAATGGATTTAAGAAAGTTAAAGAATGACAAGACTGGAAACCCTGAGTGAATGTTTTTAATCTTCAGTATAAGAATATGATGTTTTACCTTTTACAATTTCTAAGAACTTTAAATAAACAGCAACAAGTAAGAAAAGGTTTTGGCTACCAAACATTCTAGGAGTTAAAAAATTGAGTTTTGGATTTTGATTATTAAGATTTTGAAACTACTTTTCAATAAAATAAAGGTAAACTTGTGGGAAACAAAATTGGTGTTGGTGTTTTAAGTCATCTTTGAATAATTGTATTGATATCTGCTTCACGAAATGGAAATTTGTTGTTTCAGCTAGAGAACAGTCTGTTACCAAATGAAGATATCAGAACAAGATACCCAGGAAAATTTACATAAGGAGAATATAAACATTTTGAATAAAAATCTGTTGCTAGTACATTGAATGATATTTTAAAAATCAAAGAATAAAAATGAGAATCCCAGAGAATAATTGGAATTATTTCTTTTTATTGGATTTACAAAAGAGACTGTTTAAGATGCTAATTATTAACTCTAATAAGGTTTTTAACCATCTAAATGGATTACAGAGAAATATAGTTTTATTGAGAAGGAAAAAAGATTGTAACATTAGTCATTCGATCAGGAATGGTATACATTATTATTTTGTATGATTTTTTTTGGATTTTTTGAAATCTTACTAGATTTGCCTAAAAAGATATATTATGAAAAACATTTCCCCATATAATTAATGTATGTGGTTCTAATTCTATAGTTTAATTATTTGGTTTTATATTTGTTTTTCTTTAGTTAGGAAGATTAAACAAATTATTTCTTTTTGCTGTAACTTAGGGAGATGTCTCTATTAGGATATATTATTTTATTTTATACTGCTGAAACGTGGTGCCTATAGAGTGGAGACATGGAATGTGTATGCCTTGATATGGTGAAGTCCCTGTGTCTATCATGTTCTGAGGTGGACATTGGGTAGTTCCATGTATGTTGTCAAGATATGTTGATCATCCCATTCAGTCCAGCTAAAGCAAAACAGAAACATATATTGGGCAACAGTGATATAGAAAGGTGCTTGACGTGGGTGATCATTTCAGTAACAACAGGAAAGGCATCTTGTTATAGGAGTGGACAGTGGTAAACCATTCCTGTATTTTACAAAACAAACAAACCCCTTCACTGATAGACACAGAAAACCAACTGATTACGATAGGAGGCTGAATGACACAACATGTTGCTAAGGAAGAGCCTTTGGTCTTTCACGTTACATATATTGTTTATGGCATTACTAGATTAAAACTTTTAGGACATCTAGTTGTTTATATTGCAATAAAGGAAAAGATAATCTGAAGCAAAGGTTATTAATAGCATGAACATAGGAAAGATCCACATAGTGAAAAATGAAAAAAATCAACTCCATAAGGTTTCTTAGATATCAACAAATTGAATGGATTCGAATAGCAATTAAATTCTATTATCATTATGTGCTCTCAAGTAAGAATCAATTTAGTGACTACATAAATAGATTTTCTCCATGTCCATTTATCTCCAACTTCAATCCTTTAGATTTATTAACTGTGTATCCATGTCTATTATAATTAATTCCATTCACTTTGTTGCCAGGATCTTCCTCTTCCCTTTGCTTCTGCATCTCCTATCACTGTAGGCAACAGTCTAGGTCGGGGTCCATAACCCCTAGCCTGTGTACCAGCACCAGTCGATGGCATGCTAGCAAGCAGGCTACAGAAACAAGTGAAGCCCTATTCACGGGATACAGACAGCACACAAAACCACATCTTCTCAGGACCCCAGAAAATCTTTCTCCACAGAATCAGTCCCTGGTGCCCAAAAAGTTGGGGGCCATTAGTCTAGGAGATAGGTGTTTGTATTATGTTTCCCAAATATGATCATTTAAATCTGGTCATTTGTGTCTGGAGTGGGTTGAATTAATAATCCCTTTGGGGTTCTTTCTTGTTACCCATGATATTCTAATGAATTATTTCCAACACCTAAGCCTCTATATAGTAGTGCTCAACTTATGATCACAACTGAGCACAAAATTTATGTTGCTAAGTGAAACTTTTAAGTGCTGCATTTTATGTCTTTTCTTGCCACAGTTGTTAAGTGAATCATTGCAGTTGCTAAGTTAGTAATATGGTTTGTTAAGTGAACCTTAACCTTCCCCATTAACTTTGTCAGAAGGTTACAAAAGCTAACACATGATCCCAGGACACTGCAATCGTCATAAACATAAACCAGTTAACAAGCAACTGGATTTTGATTATTATGACCATTGGAATGCTGCAAAGGTCATATGTGTGAAAAATGATCATAAGTCAGTTTTTTCTTCTGCTGTTGCAATTGTGAACAGTCACTAAAGGAATTGTTGTAAGTTGAAGATTACCTGTATCTTTTTATCCCGCTTCTTAAAAATTCAGTTTCTGCTTCAGTTGACAGGAAAGTCATTACTTGTTCAATTCTTATAGGCCTAGACTTACTCTAATATCGAATGTCTTTTTTCAAGTGCTTTATATCCTATATCAATAAAATGGAGTTCTAGCATTTATTGTAGTATCTCTTTTCTCATCTGTTTTACGTTACAGAGCTGACAACAATCTTGAAAGCCCGATAGTATTTCTTTTTCTGACCCTCTTATACCAAAGAAACCAGACCTTGAATTTCTTCCTCATCCCTTCCTTTCTTTTTGGACTGAATTCATGTTTTCTTAATAATTGCTGTGTACGTTTTTCATAATATATCTGTATTTCTGTACAAGGAGATACAGTCCCACTTGTTGCTTTGGGTTAAGGATTACAACTTTGTTCTGATACTGGACCCAGAAGAATTGGCAATTTGGTCCACAGTCAAGGATATCTATAGGCATTTTTAATAACAAGGGACATATTATAATGAGAAACATTATCAAGGATATTTAATATTTGCAAATTGTTAAAGTTTATTAAATTTTGTATGTATAATTAATTTTATTTCATATTTAAGGTTCAGTTGCAATTTAAATAACCTATTATCTAAGAAAGTCCACCTATTTCTTTATTCCTCCAAACTATCTTGGAAAAAAATAATTAGAAGGAAATAAATTTGCAATTAATACAGAATTGTGAATTTTTTATCTAGCACATGATTTGTATCATTAGCAAATTATAATACGATGAAATAGGCCATTAAGTTTTGTGGAACTTAAACACACAATCCTCAATCTGTGCCTTGTAAACATTTCTTGTTTAGTTAAACATTTACGAGAAATTAGTAACAAAATCAAGAGCTTATTTAGCTGTTAATCTTAAAATAATCAGTATTTAATTTAAGATTAACAATACAGATGTTTAGAAGTTCAGTTCATCATACCATAGGTATTAAAGTCTTCACTTTTTTGTTACACATTGCATACATATTTTGACTTGGAATGAATGCTTAATGATAAATGATAATTAAGGAGGAGCTATAGAGGATGTAATATTTGAGTTATCTTTCAGTGCATTTGATGAACTATAGGCAAGCATATTAAATAAGGAAATATGCTTAATTTTACACTTATGTATAGGTATAGTGAATATAAAATGAACATAATTGATTTTGTACAGTAAAAAGTTAATTCAATTACTTTCCTTATAGCGACTCCTTAATGTTTTGGGTTTCCTGACTATAAGATACTTATTTTGATAGCATTTTGGCTAATATGCAACAGATTTTGTTGTTCTGTGAATTAAGTCTTTTAGAGTTCAGTTGATACAGGGTTACTGATCAAATCACATGCCATCCGATGTGTTGAATGATCAAGCATTAAATATCTCTGGTATAATCTTATTAGATTCAGTAATAATATTTGGCCTTCATGGTTGGTTAGATACTTGTTCGAGGTTACAGTTATGAATGCATAAACATTGATATACTTTTCCTTCTCTTTTTATGTCTTTCAGCCAACCAGTCCCAAATTTGGAAAAGCCGATTCTTATGAAAAACTGGAAAAACTGGGTGAAGGTTCATATGCTACAGTGTACAAAGGGAAAAGCAAGTAAGTATATTTATAACATTTGCATGTTTTAAGGTTTTGTCAATTTAAAAAAATAATTTTAATGTAGAGATTAAAGTAATTTTTTAAATAAAAATATAAATAATTTTATGACTCTGAGGCAGCACAGTATTAAAGTAAAACGTCATATTGAAAATTGGGTATGCTGAATGGGATTAAATCTTAAATGCCTCCGAAGTCTCCTCTTTTGTCTTCTTTGGCCCTGTATGTATATATCCTTATGCTTTTGTAGTCAGTAGATTTCAAAACCCTTAATCTGAAATTGATTTCCTTTGAAAATGTTTCTTGTGGTACAGAGTCTATTATGTTTTGCTAAATTTTATTTTTCTATCTGCAGAACATGTTCATTTAACTAATTAAGCAAATCGATTTGGTTGACAATTCAAAGTGTCAGATCATCACTTAATGGACAAAAATGGTTTGCTTCAATCAAATCCACTATTGTGTATGTTTCTAAGCTTAGAGCAACATATCAAAATTATATTTATATTACATATACATATACATATACATACATACATACATACATACATATATATATATAAAAAAAAAATATTCAGCTTCGTTTGGGTGTTTTCCCACGTCATTGTAGTTGTGCTTTTAAAGTTGTGGCAACGTTTCGGCAGAATCTCATCTGCCATCATCAGGCCTCTGTATAGTGTT